TGTTGATCTTGAAATGCAAAGTGGCAAAAAGAGCTCCCACTTGGCGAGTCGGCTATTTATCCGAGTATCACCGGAAACCGGAAACTGATGACATGTAATAACAGCGAACTGTATTCTACAGGATTTTAAGTTATTAAACTAACTCCTTAAAAAGTTTCCATCTTTTGAAAGGATACTTTCTTGTTTCGTGTGAATTATGACATGAAAAAGGGCTCATCTTTAACAACAAAAGAATTTTGATGATTTTTGAAAAAAGGTAATCTTTATCTATCTCAGTCAAAAACATTAATTTCTTGGCCGCAGCGTAGCCTAATGGTTACAGTGTGTTCCCCGCAGGTCTCCCACTCTTTATCTCTGTTCACTTTCCTGTCAAGCTACTGTCAATAAAGGTCACTAGAGCCAACAAAATCTTTAAAAAAAAAACTAGATATTAATTTCTTTAAATATTAAAAACTTTAATCTTTTCATTAAAAAAATGTGTGAATTATTTAAAAAAGGTTATCTTTAAAAAAAAATACATTTTATTAAAAAATCTAATCTTTATTTTTTTAATATACAAATATATTTCTAAAAAGTTTTGTTTAAAAAAAAAGTGTCATTTTTAAAACTTATTATAAAATGTGTATATTATTTATTAATTGTATTATTTACAAAAATATCATTTTAATTTTTTTTACTTTAAAAAAAGTTAAGCTATTTCTAACTAGTGTAATCTTTTTAAGGGAAGTTTATCATAAAAAAATATTTTATATTAAGAAAATTTACAATAATTTAGATTTTTTTTTTGCCAGCCTCACAAATTATTTGACTATTTTATCCAACTAATCTGCTTCTGTACAACAAACTCAGACCCCTCAGACTCTAATCTGAAGCCATTAAAGTAACAACAGAATCCACCTGACTTCATCCCCCATTAGATAAAACAAAGAAGCAGCTTACCTGGAAGTTCTGCCCATCTAACAGGTGAGCTGGGAAGTCTTACACAACAGCAAACTGGAACTGGTTATGAAATAAGAAAAATCCAGCTCTGGCTGAGATTTTGAGCCAGAAAACTCCAGTTTTGACTGAGTTTTTTAGCCAGAAAAGTCCAGTTTTGAATGAGATTTAGAGGCAGAAAAGTCCAGTTTTGAATGAGATTTAGAGGCAGAAAAGTCCAGTTTTGACTGAGTTTTAGAGCCAGGAAAGTCCAGTTTTGACAGATTTTTAGGGCCAGAAAAGTCCAGTTTTGCCTGAGTTTTAGAACCAGAAAAGTCTAGTTTTGACAGATTTTTAGAGCCAGAAGAGTCCAGTTTTGACTGAGTTTTAGAGGCAGATTAGTCCAGTTTTGACTGAGTTTTAGAGCCAGAAAAGTCCAGTTTTGACAGATTTTTAGGGCCAGAAAAGTCCAGTTTCGACTGAGTTTTAGAACCAGAAAAGTCCAGTTTTGACTGAGTTTTAGAACCAGAAAAGTCCAGTTTTGACTGAGTTTTATAACCAGAAAAGTCCAGTTTTGACAGATTTTTAGAGCCACAAAAGTCCAGTTTCAACTGAGTTTTAGAACCAGAAAAGTCCAGGTTTGACTGAGTTTTAGAACCAGAAAAGTCCAGGTTTGACTGAGTTTTAGAGGCAGAAAAATCCAGCTTCAACTGGCTGGAAAAGTTAGTGGACAGAAGCTGTCTGAGGGTTCTTTAATTAAAACACCAAAGTTCAGTTTAGAGTGGAGGAATCTCCACACAAAGGCCAGTTTTAACACTGGATTTCCACATAGATGACTTTCAGAATCCCCCATTGTAAAAATTGAGAGGAATAAAAGAGCTCCTTTAAAGTTAGAGTCAGAAAAACACTGAAAAGAGTAAAATAAATTCAAAGTTACTCCAGAAGAGCTGGTGATCCGGCATCGATGCAGGAACTGTTTTCAGAAAAACTTCCTCCATCCTTTATAGTCTTGGCTGGTACTGAAACCAGTTTGATCGGTATGGATTTTGATTGGCATGGATGTTGATTGGTATGGATGTTGATTGGTATGGATGTTGAACATTTGGGCGTTGAACATTTGGGTGTTCGTTTGGGTGTTCCTTTTCACAAATCACTGCGTGCTCTGTCATGTTAGTTCCTCATTAAGAGATTCCTCTGATTCAAGGCCTAATTGTTCTCTGAACTATGAAATCTGAAGCAGAAATCGCTTTTATTAAACCAAATTGACACAGGAATCTGCCCTGGTATCCATGGCAATGGGACGGTTTCCATAACAGATTTGGACAAAGGTCAGAGAAAAGGTGACCTGTGATGTGTTCAGGTGTTTTTCGGCGTCTGCGTCTTTAAGTGTCAGCAGGGCTGAACTGCCTTATTAAAGAGGGAGGAGGCCTGGAGGGAAAACCTGTTCAGGTGCCTGGTGGATCTGGTCCTGGTGGACCTGAACTGGGTCTGAACTGGGTCAGATGAGTCTGAACTGGGTCAGATGGGTCTGAAGTGGGTCTGAACTGGGTCTGAACCAGGTCTGAACTGGGTCAGAAAGGGGAAAGGCTGTTATCTTGGATCCAA